CCCTAGTATCGTTCAGATTTTTTTTAAATTTATCAATTTATTTGTTTACTAACTTTCTCTTTTCAAAGGGATAATCTTCTTTCTTGTTGGTAAAAAAAAATCGAAAACAATTTTAAATTCATTAAAGAAATTCATCGCTTTCATTAAATTAAACTAAAGTAAATTTTTCAAACAGTTGAAGGATTATTATTTTCTCCAAATATTTCATGTGTTGTAAATGCGAATTTAAATACGAAATTTCTTTGATAATTTTCAGATCATCTAGCTATAAAATTCGGAAACAAATATTAATTAGTAAAAGTGAAAGAGTGATATTTAGGTTGGTTGTATTGTGTTGAAATTTGAATAAAATAAATACATTAACTAAATAACACAACGGATAGTATTCGAACAGTTTACTGAAGGAATTATCAATTGTTGTTGATTTTGTGCGACATTTAAAATAGATGGTGACATCACAGAAGGAATCTTAGGAGATTGACACACTCTTTCTTAGCACTTAAGTTGTTAAATAATTAAGCAAAAAAAAAATACCCATTGGATTACATTTAAAGTGCTCTTATTCCATTATAATACATTCTCACTAATATTTACATCACATTATTCATTTCCCCTTATTTTATTGAACAGCAATTGTTCATTCTATCGATTTATCTCTCAATTAATCAGTCAGTTAATCAATCAATATATTAATGTTAATTATATATATATATATATAACCTGCTGTTTCACCATATAACGATGACCTTCTGCTAATCATTAACCAATATTTATTGGTATTTCTTTCATCCTTACCTGTTTATATATTTCTTTTTAAATTATAAAATATTTTCAAATTTTAGACTTTTCAATAAAATTTTTCAAATTAATATTCTCTTTAAGATTTTCCTATCATTCTTCTTACTTTTTCTTCACCTTTTCTTCCAATTTTTGTTTTTTATAAAATTAAAATTCAAATGATTCAACTATTTTATCACTTTTTCTTCTTTTTTTTCTTTTCTTTTTTTTTGTAATTGTTATTTTGATTTTATTTCTTATTATTTGCAGAAAAGAAAAAGGAAAGTAAAGGCTTTAGATATTTATTGTATTATTTTTTGAATTCATTTTTAATTTAAAAAGTTTTCTTTTTTTTTGTCGAATTAAAAATTGAAGTAAAATTTTTCTATGTACAAAAATTAATTGTTAAAAATAATTTCAGATGAGAAATTTGCATTTTTGGTACCATCCGTACAAGCAGCAATTTGTTTGCTATTCGCAGCAATTTGTTCTGGTTCCTCACATATCATTCAATATGCAGAAGATGCTCTTGTATATGTTTTACGATGTGATCCGGTATGTTTGTATTTTTTTTTTATTTTTATTTTTTATTTCCATTTTAACAAGGATATCCTACGTTATTTGTAGAGGGAAATAGTAGGATATTTGAGAGAGAGAGAAGAAAAAAAAAGATGAGAGATGATATATCCACATTTCGTAGGACTTGTTTTTTTTTTGTTTGAAGTTTTGAAATTTTAAAACAAATTTTGAAAAATTTCACATTCATATTACTAGAATTGTCTCCGCATAATTTTATGTCTAATTTTTTTTTTATTTCTAGCAAATTTTGTACCCTTATATGAATACGGTGCATAACCTTGTAACGGGTTCCAATAATGGCCATGAAAAACGAAATCCATCACCAAGCAGCCTGGTTGCGCCACCTACATCCGAATCACCTCATACGCCATCTTTGACACCACCAAATACATCAACAGCAACAACAATACCAGAAGTGTTATCATCGTTGGTATGCTCTCAGCGTACTTCTCCGGAAAGCAGTAATCAAGGCGTCGATGATGATTCCGGTTTTATCAGTGGTTTCTCAAGTCCAGCAACTGTTTTAAATACTAGCAAGGTTGATAATTATTGCATAGTTCTGTGTAATTTTGAAGTAAAGAAGAAAAAAAAAAGGCAAAACATAAGAAGGAATGGAAATTTAAAATATAGGAAAACATTGAAAAAGGAATGGAAATTTAATTTTAATAATTACAGCAAATTTTTCTGCAACAATCAATAGCTTCTTCATAATGAGAATTTTAATTTTGATAGTTTTAATCTTTCATTAGTAATTTGTATCAGTTGATATCCTGTTATTAAACTATCCTTTTAGCATATATCCTATACTGTTTTAATCGTGTAATTTTTTTTTAAATAAGAAAATACTGTTGTTACATTTTTCATTATAACATTTTAATTTATATATTAATTAGCAAGGGGAAAAAAGAAAGAAAAAGACATCTGTTTAATTGTATGAAAAAATTTAAAATTAATTATTCCTTTTGTTGTTTCATTTTCAGTTTGGTAATCATAACGTAGGAGGAAATAAAGGAAATTCTTCGACATATTCACGACGACGTTTGAGGCGTTCAATAAATGTTGCACAACTTAATTGTATCCATAGATCATATGAAAATATGGATAATGGTATAATAGCATATTATCATGCTAGTGAAGATGATTTTCTCAGTTCATATTGAAAAATGATCGAAAAATGAATGGAAAGAGAGAGAGAGAGAGAGAAAGAAAAAAAAGACAAACAAAC